ATATATATATATATATATATATATATATATATATATATATATATATATATATATATATATATATCCCTGACACACACACACACACACACACACACAGGCCTGCATGCTCACATACACATGAGAAAGGGGACAAAGCAGACACACTGTACTGCAATGGAGAGAATCACTCTAGTGCAGTTTACTCCTTCCATTAACGATTGAAGAAACACATTATGTTACTCTGATATAAACTTAGGTACAGTTTCCCTTTTTACATATAACCCTTTGGACAGGGTCTCATGTAGTCTGGAATATCCTTAAATTCAGTTTTAGCCAATGAACTTTTAATCTCCCTGCCTTTACTTCCTGGGTGCCGGGCTTATAGGTGTGTGATTACACGCCCCGTGCTAGGGCTTCGTTAACACGTTACCCAAGCACTCCGCCAAGTCACAGCGTGTCACTTCATATGATACACAAATTGGAACCTTAATCACAGGTGAGGCAACCTGTACGCATCTGACTCAGAGAAAACGGTAAAGAAAGAAGTACTACCGGGTGATGTTGTCATTTCTGTCGCTGATGCTGAAATGGAAAAACAAACAGAAACTTAGGGAGATCATTTTTTATTTAAAAAGTGGAAACATGAAATAAATTAAAATTCCATATAAACAGCTTCTGGGATGTGAAACTAATTCAAAGAACAGGGTCTGTTGTTGTGTTGTGTTTTGTTTGACTAAGACTGAAACAGAGATAGGGATGTATGAAGGCAGGAAGTGGGAAATGCTCATTGCCTAGGGGGCAGTTCGTTTCTCTGAGAGGGGCAGAAAGGCCGCATCTCTGGTGCAGTGAAAAGGATGTGTTCTGCTGAGTGGCAAATTTCTAGGCACCTTCTTAATTCGACCCTTAAATTGATAATACTAACTTCTCAGGTAGGCAAAACTAGGATTGCAAAACGATGCCAAGCTGTCTGAACACTGGAAGGAAACAATTCCTTACAATAATGAAGCATAGTGTCGCCCTAGATTCACTCTTCATTCTTGTTTGCTCACATCCTATTATAGCGGAACTGCATATGTAATTGTGGCCGTCCTTCGGAGACACGGGAACAAATGCTTTTGGGTTTAGTAACCACATCCTCAGTGCCTAGATAGAGCTCTGCCGGCTTCACGGAGCATGCTCATGAAATACACATTAAGCGAGCAGTCAGCACAGAGACTCTTAAGAGGTCAAAGCACTAAGAATAAGTGTTTATTGAGTGCTCAGGTCTAAATTAGACATTTATGCCAACTCCCTCAAGGCTCAGGGAACAATGAGAGAGAGGGGACAAAAGAATGTAGGAGCTGAAAGATGGCGGGGGACCATGTCTTAGGGCATGATATGGCTGTGACTGTCATGACTCACTGCCGTTATGGTTATCTGCACAAGATGAAGCTGACGAGCTCAGCCGATAGACCAGCAGGCAGCATTAATTGGACTCAGTGAATTAGAAAAAAAAAAAAAAAGAAAGCAGAAAGGAAAGAACATGAAAGGAGAGAGGGGGCATGTGGGTAGAATCCAGGTATTCATGGAAAGTAGGAGGAGGGGATTGGGGATGGATGTGATCAAGACACATTGATTGAAATTGTCAAAGGATAAATAAAACCTAAGAAGAAATATACATACATATATATATATATAAAGTAAATAGATGCATGACTTAAATTCTCTTAGCCTAGTCTCTGCCCTATCCAGGGTTATTTTCATTTCGTCTGATTTCTTTTTCTCTATTTTACTTTATGTTGGGACAGAGCTAAAGAAAACATAATCCATAAACTTTGCTGAATTAAACAAAGAAACAAACAACAAAACAACAGGAAACCATCCCAAATGAGAAGCTAAGAGGAAACAGTTTAAACTAAGAAAGAGAAACTGTGTTGTGTTCATAGACGTCTCAAGACCAGTACCAAAAGCCAGCCCTAGAGCTCAAAGCGGACAGTCTGAGGAAATGCCATGACTGTAGTGATAAGTGGACAGAAGACCTTGAGAGTCCTTAACGAAGGTACAGTTGCAGGCTCTGAGGGGAACTCGTGGGTGTCATGTCAAGCATGGCGTACTGAGGGAGGCTAGGAGTGACAGATTGGCCTTCCAGAAGCAAGGGCGGGGTGGGCAGTGGGTGTTGTTATACTGCACATCAAGTACAGCTGCCCCAGCAAGCCTTGGAATGTCGAGACAGGGCTCTGGGCAAAATCAGCAGACCCCAACAGGAGCCAAAGGTCCCCAAGTTAATTTCCAGTACCCTCACCAAGAATCACTGACAAAGTCAGCAGCGAGTACCTGAGCAGATAACACCAGCGTCTTCATGGTGGCCACAGTTGTGGACAGACAATCCTTGGTGGTGGCAGTGGCCTAGCGAGGTCTCAGTGCCCTGGCACTTCACGTCATCCAGGAAGATGTTCCCCACGCCCTCTCCAAAATGGCCACTCCCAAGGGCGCTGACACCCTCCCCGCAGTCCAGCTGCCGGCATACCACCTTGGCATCCTCGATGTCCCAAAGGTCATCACAAACAGTGCCCCATGTGCCATTGTGATGGACTTCCACTCGCCCTTCACATCGGTTCTTTCCATCCACCAACCTGATCATGAGCTGGTCTGAGGAAGACTCAGAGGTTAGTCCTGGGGTACCATGGCATCTTGGTGGGCCTTTCCTTAGCTCTTAATACTATTCCTCTAAATCTCAGAACTATAGGAACTCTAGCTTCCTGCCTCTAGGTCCCACAGGACTATATCAAATTAATGACTCTAAGTTCACTGAGCTGTTTTCTCTGGCTGATTCTGATTTCTTATCTCCAGGCTAAAAATATGTTACAGTTATTACAATGATAATCATATCCTTGGATCCAAGTCAAGAACTCGCATTAGGCATTGGTATGAAATATGTCAAACTCAAGTTTCATCTTTTTCTTTTAGAATAAGCTTGTCCCTGGTGCAAGGAACCCCTCTGTGTCACCTTCTCCTTTGTCATCAGAGGGAGGCTGAGCTCTAGGTAGCCAGCAATAGTATAGGCTATAAACTTGGGAAGGTCCCTACAAAGATCCAATAATGAGGAAGTAGTGAGAAAAGCAATGAGAATATTACCAACTCTGGGAGCCACTTCTGCCAAAGCCGAGGCAACACCAACAGCTGAAAGAATAAACGCAGAAGCATTCACATCAGCAGAGGTTCACCCAATAAAATACCACGCACCAAGTGGGCACCAATCCTCATCATGCCCATGTGATGGGCACACAGGTGGTGTGATCATATGTGAAGGAGCCAGTCCACGCAGATTATGCCTCTGAACCACCTTGCCCTCACCTGAATTACTAATACTCACTGGACATACCTTTTGCCCTTCCTGGCAGGTGGCGCTTAGGGGATTTGTGGCCACAAAATAGGAAATGGACACGTGCTGCCATTTTAACTTAGACTTTGTAATCCCCCAGGGCTATGAAACTAACTCTTCAGATATAAACAAAACAAGATCGGAGGCACAGCCTCTCCTCACCGTGACACCATCTCGCAGCCTCACCTCTGCCTGGCCCAATAGGAGGTAGAGAATGAGGTATATCAGGCAGTGGTAATTAATAAGAAAATAAGGTCTTAGTGGGTTTTTTGATTTTTTTTAATTTTTAAAAATTTATTCTCTCATATACTGTATTCCAATCATAATTTTCCTTCCTTCCTCTCCTCCCAGCTCCCCCACCCCCGCCACCTCCCACCTCACAATCCACTCCTCCTTTGTTTCCCTTCAGAAAAGGGCAGGCCTCTGAGGGTTATCAACAAAACATGGTGTATCAGGTTGCAATGGGAATAGGAGCATCCCCTCATATTAAGGCTGTATCAGGTGACCCAGGAGGAAGAGACAGCCCCTGCTTGTACTGTTAGGAGTCCCACAAGAAGACCAATCTACACAACCAGAACGTATCTGCAGAGAGCATAAGCCAGACCCTGCAGGCTCCCTGGTTGGTGGTTCAGTCTCTGTGAGCCCCTATGATGCCAGGTTAGTTAATTCTGTGGGTTTCCTTGTGGTGTCCTGACCCCTCTGACTCCTACAATCTTTCTTCTCCTCTTCTAGAGGATTCTTTGGTCAAGCTTTTTGAGTGTTTACCTAAATTTGTCCCTTTGTGGCAAGAAAGTCCCAACGTGGGCAACGCAATGAGGAAAGTATTTGCCTAGTGAAGCTGTCTAAAATCTCATCATGAGGGCCTAGGAGTTTGATATACATAGAAAGACTGTTCCCAGGAGTTTAACGGCCCTAGTCTGGCTTTCAGGTACATTATTTCTTATAGGACTTCTGTGTGTAAGACCTGAGGAAAAGGCTGTAACAGTGGATAATGGACATTCATTTCCTGACACTAGGGTGACCAATGCTGTTGGCTGTTGGAGTCCAGTGTGCTTGAAGGGCATGAGACTCTGGGTACAAAAGCCAGGACGAGTTCGCCTCAGCAGGGCCCCTGTGTCCTTCCCTGTTGATCTCCCTGGTTTGTTGCTTGGGAAGAGAATAAACATCCAGCAGAGATCAGGTACCTGTACAGATGGCTCCCGCGTCCTCATGGTGCTCACAGTTGTGCACAGACAGGCCGAGGTGGTGGCAGCGCCCCAGGTTGGTCTCTGTGCCCAAGCACCTCACGTCGTCTAGGAAGATGGGGCCAGACCCATCGCCAAACAGACTGCTCCTGGGGGCTGCCAGGGCCACCCCACAGCCCAGTTGCTGACATACCACTTGAGCGGCCTGTATGCTCCAAAGATCATCACACACAGACCCCCAAGTCCCATTGAAATAGACTTCTACGCGGCCCTCACAGTGGCTTCTCCCACCAGCCAGTCTCACCAGCAGCAGATCTGCGGGAGTCAAGGGTCAAGTCAGTTGAGGGTCCTTCAGAGCTCAAAGGGATAGATAGCACATAAAGCTGGAGAATCCTAGCTTTGTGTGCAGCCTGCTGTTCGGGTAGCATGCATCAGTCTATGAAGGGATGTGATGATGTGGGATACCAAATACACAAAGGTGCACATATGACTGCTTTCTGTACTGGAAATTTAACATGTTTCTATCTGTGCTAGATTGTTGTCCTGGGCAGTTTTGTTATGGGAATGGAGGTCACAGACTAGCACTGAGGAAGATGTACCTAAAAATGCAGTGCTCCCATGGAGCGGTTTCCCTAGACTTCTTTTTACCATTTCTTTTGAGGTAAGAGTCTCACTAATTTTCCTAGGCTAGCCTCGATCTCACTTCCAGGCAGGCTTGGCACATGCCTCAGTCTTGGCTTGGTTCCCAATCAGCTGTGGTTTCCAGGCATTTGTACCATGCCCAGTCCCAGTGTTCACTGTTTTTAGGGTCTTTTTTTTTCTTCAGAAAGTGGCTTTCTAGAAACTGAAAATGACGAACCGCATGCTGAGAATCCGGACTGTGTTTCTAACTTGGTTCATCAGATAGGATGGAATTTAAAAAGTAAGACTAGTTGTGCATTACTGGAATGTAGAGAGCTGTAAAGTATTTATCAGAGGGGATGCAGCACCCCCAAGGCAAAACAGGGAATCAACCAGGAAAATACTCTCGAACTAAAGCAGGTAAAGTCTGTTCTCAGTGTCTGAGCCCTCAGGACTGGGCAGGGCTCTTCTCAAGGGTTCACGGAGCGAAATGTGGAACACCGGCCTTTGAACACCAGATGCTGCAGTTGAGGTGGGGTGAAGGTAAATTGGCTCTGTCCTTAAGAAGACCCCACAGTAGGAGAAGCCTATGTCACAAGCTTTAATGAGCTTCTTTGTCATGTAGCATCAGGGCCATGAGAACAATGTTCTCTCTGTCTGTCTCTCTCTCTCTGTGTAGACTAGATTAGATGTCATCCCAGGTTTATTCTTCAGGATACCATCTACCTCAAGTTTTGGAGACAAGGTCTTTTATTTTTACCTGGGGCTGGCTGATTTGGCTTGACTGGCTGGCCAGCAGTTCCCAGGATCTGCCTATCTCAGATTTGGGTCTTTGACCTAAACTGGGACTCCAGGATGTGCCACCATGCCCGGGTTCTGGGGACTGAGCAGATCCTTGTGCTTGCATGGCCAGCACTTACCTACTGAGCTGTCTTATTTCATTTTTTGTTAGTCACAAACAGCTTCAGAACAGAGATTGACAGACTGTAAGAGCAGGGGAAGTACCTATTGGATGGAAACCATGTAGATGTTCCTCAGGAGCTGAAGTGGCTGTACAGGTAAGAATGGGGGAGGGAAAGTCATCACAAATACATTCTAAGTAAGCAAAACGCAATCTCATACACACATATATTTGGTTGTTCAAGACCGGGTTTCTCCATGTAGCCTCGGCTGTCCTGGACTCCCTTTGTAAACCAGGCTGGCCTCGAAACTCACAGAGATCTGCCTGCCTCTGCCTCCCTGGGTGCTGGGATTGCAATCTCATATCCTTAAAATGTTTCCACTTAAAATGTGATAATGTCTCGTGAACATGTATTCATTATTCTAAATTAGAATGAGAGGTTAGATTCATGTTGGGACCATGAAGCTGTGGCCTCATGTCAGGGCCTCATGTCAGGTCATCAGTTTCATCCAGGGTCCAAAGTGTAGGCTGTAGATAGAGAAGGAGGCCTGGCCCCAGGTTCCTCTGCCTCTAGGACCACCTGCACTGCTTGACCTGCTAAGCTCCCTGTTGCATAAACATTTTGGGTCAAAAGCAGGTATCGTGGTTTCCTGCTGAAACACGGTGCTCATGTGTAGAAGGGATGACACACTAATTAATATGTTAGTGTCCAGACCACCTTTCCTCTGGGTGCCTGGGGTGGCCCTAGGGCCTGGGAAGCAGCCCTGGATCTAAATCTTCTACAACGGTCTAGATCTCCGGGAATTGTCCCAATGATTTAAACTCAGGAGAGAAACCCAGTGTGGTAACCCTTTTGTTAGACTCTGGTCACCAGGCAGGAAGTACAGTATTCATGAATTCATAGATACCTGGATGTCCGTTAGCTGCAGAATCTACAGAGAGAAGGGAAATAGGAGATGGCAGATATTAGTAACCATGATGGTGAATTGGCCTAAAGGACATGGTCTTCATTTAATTGTAATTGAAGGAAGTGGGTGTGAGCAATTCTTCTTAAGCACCATTGGCTGTCCCCTCTACTGTGGGCTTTCGCCTGCCTAAAAACCTGGGAATGTGATTCTGACAGAAATAATCTTAGTGACAAACATTGCAACAAGCTAGCAAATTTGTGGACTTCATGATTTCTTAGATGCTCGACTAAACATTGTAAACACTGTATGCAGGTTGTCTTGTTAACTCCTACCGACCCTATGAGGCTAGTACTATTATTTTCTTTATTTTATGGTTAGTTAATCTTTTCAGACACGTAGTTTGAAAACAGACACCGTAAGTATTGAAAGCATAGTTTTCAGTGTTGGCAAAGAAACCCACTGTCTTGACCTTGGCTCTAGGTGTGCCAGCATTTAGGCTTGGCTGATCTAGGATAGGCCTTCCCTTACCTGAACAGATGACACCAGCATCTTCCTGGTGCCCACAGTTGTGGGTGTGCCAGTCTCTGTGAGGGCACTGTGCCAGGGAAGACTCCTTTCCTGTGCAGTTGACATCATCAAGGATGATGCTTCCCGACCCAGGGCTGAAGCTGGTGCCTGGCAGGGCCGATAAAGCTGGACCACAGCCAAGCTGTCTGCAGACCACGTGGGCATCCTCTATGGACCAGTTGTCATCACACACAGTACCCCAGGTGTTGTCATGGTGCACTTCAACTCGGCCTTCACACCTGCTTGTCCCATTCACCAGCCGCAGGTCCAGACCTTGGTGGATAATTCAAGAACAACCCCTTGAGGGTTCATCCTCAAAGGCTACTAGAAAAATCAGCTATTTCCTGGGAGTCATAAATTGATGGTAAAGATGGCAAACCCACTCCCCCTTCATTTCATTTCAAATAATTTCAAGTCTTGTCCTTGGTACCACTCAATGTGTGTTCAAGATGGTGTTTGGTAAAGAAAAATGATTGTTCCTTGGCTAGCTGAACCAGGAATTTACCCTGGGTCCTCTTGCTGCAAGTTCCAAATATTGGTTTCTGGTACTCACAAAGTTTATTTTATTTTATTTTTCACGAGGAGATGCTCTACCTGTTGTGTGTAGTCTCTCTCTCTCTCTCTCTCTCTCTCTCTCTCTCTCTCTCTCTCTGTGTGTGTGTGTGTGTGTGTGTGTGTGTGTGTGTGCTGATCAAGGGATGATAGCAGTAAGACACCAGGACCAAGTGTGTCCCATGTGTCAAGGTGTTCCAGAGACTAAGAAGGGCAGTCACTGTATGCTGAGGCTCAGAAACAAAGGCTGTCGTGTCAGAAGAGAAGAAAAGGTCAGAAGACAGCCATGATCAGTTCCTAGGTAGGGCTGGGTAGGGACAGCATGGCATCCTGAGTCTTAACAGGAGCCAACTTCCACACTAGCCCCCTGCAAATCATTCTTGCTTCTTGCAGTATTTTCTAGTCTCAGATTTTCTAGATGGGTCAGACATTTCAAGTTCTCCCTCTAGCAGCATCCATCAATGGGGACAGCCTGAGCTGGGGGAAGAGGGTGGGAATAGACAGTGTGTTGAACAAGGATGCTTCTCCTCCGGCAGTGCTGGAATCTGGGCTCAAACACTACAAAGGGAAAGGCAACTGAGGAGAGAAAAGAAGGTTACCTGCTGATGTGGGCCCTTCTGGCTGCTTCACTACCAATGCTAAAGATGGATAGAAAGCAAAATAAGAAAATTATACAACGTTGTTGTTAAGTGTCAAGCATCTTCAACTCTTCATCAATTTCCAGCGGGCTCTCTACCTTCAGGGCTATCTAAAGACAGTTTCTAATCACATTCTTTCCTGGTACTCTTCTCTGTAAGGAGTAGTCCTTCCATCCCTCAATCAGTGTGCACACAATGAATACAAACTACTTTATAAGCCAAATAAAACCAGAGCCTGGGGTTAACAAATTAAAAAAAAAAAAAACCAGATACAGATACAGATACAGATACAGATACAGTTAAAAATCAGTAAAGCATCCTTTGAAGACCTCCGCTACCAGGATAACCCACACTGGTGCTTCCTCTGGAGGCTTGGGGGTCATTCTCTCAATTTTTTCCTGCATGTTGAACTTCGTTCTTTGAGGCATGTCCTGAAGAGCAGTTGACTGAATTTGAAATATAGCAACTACTGGGCCCCAAAGAGATGGAAGCAAATGAAAAAGTTAATGGTTTGGCTTCTTCATTCTTAGTTCCGCCAGGGAGAAAGGAGTATGCAGAGGGAAATTCTCACAGTTTTCTGGTCAGAAGATAATGGCTGACGTCTACATAGCACATTCTGTCACACACCAAGTATTGCGCCAACCTCTCCCTCTTTCACAAGGAAAGTCACTCAAGGATATATCCCAAGGATGCCAAGGCCACCACCCAAATCACTATTCTGGAGGAGGAAACGGAGATAGTTCAGAGATTTGCTCCATTAAGAGATGTCAAAGACAGGAGGTTTGGCCTCTCAACCTCTTCCCTACTTTGCAGTGTGACTTTGCCAATGCAAGTCGCAGCCAATCAATCAAGAAAACTGACATTACCTGAAATCATATCACTCTCAGGAAATGATGGTGTTGCGTAGGACAGAGATCCTGTGAAAGACACAAGAAAAGGAGAAAGTCGCCACCACCTCTCTTCAGGCTATTAAACCCTGCAGGTTTAATAAGCAGGTAAACCTGCTTATTTGAACCACTTGTTTGGGGAAGAAACCAAAGCCAGATTATACCACCTACACATCTAAGCGTGACCCCCAAGTCACCACCCAAGTGTCTAGATTCCTAGGTCCATTCTGTCCTGACAATGAATACTAGAATATAATTTTCTTTCTTTTTAAATAAACTATGATCGTAGTGATAGTAACCTGTATGAAGCATCTTTCTTGCTGGTTGGTTTGGTTTTGTAATTCTAACCTTTAATTAATTAATCAGTTGTTCAATTTTAAAGATAAGATCCTATATCCAGGCTAGCCTCAGGTTTGCGGTGACCTTGCTGTGTAGCTGTCATGTGGGTGCTGGGAACTGAACCTGGATCTTTTGGAAGAGCAGCCAGTGCTCTTAAGCAGGCCCTGTTAGAAATATTTCTCACATGATTTCATATTCACTGTGTGTGGTGGTTTGAGTGAAAATAGCCCACACAGGCTCATATATCGAATGCTTTGTCCCTAGCTGGTGGAACTGTTTGGGAAGGACTGGGAAGTGTGGGGTTTGGAGGTATGTCCCTGGGGGCAGGCATTGAAGTTTCAAAAGTGTAAGAAATTCCAGTGAGCTTGATGTGCTTCTCTGTGTGGATCAAGATGTGAGCGCTCAGGTACTGCACCAGCACCAGGCCTACCTGCCTGTGGACATGCTCCCCACTGTGATGCTCATGGACTCTAACCCTCTGGAACCATGACCCCCCAAATGAAATACTCTCCTATAAATTATCTTAGTCATGGCATTTTATCATAGAAATCATACAGTAATGAAGATATTGTGTTTGTGTTTAGGTGTGGTCTGTTATCAGCACGGGACCATGGCTCTCTGTTTAAGCTGATAAAGTTTGAGGCTTCCTTGTAAAAAGAACTCAAATAAAGAGCCAGGTTAAAGGAATTGGTTATGAAAAATCACACCTTGAGCGGGAGGTAGGTAATGTTGGAAACAGTGGCCTGGGGACTGTCCTAGATTTCTTTCCTGCTTTCTGTGTGGTGGGGCAGAAGGCTCCCAGAACTGGAGAGTCATTAACCCACCTGGTTGAGAACCCAGCCCACCTGAGCAGATGACACCAGCATCCTCATGGTGGCCACAGTTGTGGGCAAACCAGCCACCGTGCAGACACTGCCACAGTCTGGCCTCCGTTCCCATGCACTCCACATCATCCAGGACGATGGGGCCTCGGCCTCGTTCAAAATGTGCTCGGCCAGTGGCTGCTACCGCCCCACCGCAGCCCAGCTGCTGGCACACCACCTGGGCATCTCTCAGGTCCCAGCTGTCATCACACACCGTGCCCCAGCTGCCGTTGTAATGCAGCTCCACATGGCCCTCACATGGGTGGCTGCCACTGGCTAGTCTGAGCGCCACATCTGAAAGAGTAGACAAACGGGGTCACCTCCCTGAGGCCCCCCTTTGTTGATGAGAACTTGAAGGTAAGGGTACATGTTCTCTGCCTCTGCTAGCTTCAAGGGCTCTGCCCTCACATTGGAGAACGCACCTTATGGGTTAAAGCTGGCTACTGAACACCTTGAGCTTGATGTAAATGTGATATGTGATCCAGGGAGAGGTTTTTTTTAATACCCTCCCCCAACACACACACCTTGGGTTAATTTTATATTTCATAAAACTCAAGGAAAGCTCTCAAAAGCCCCTTGTAAAGTGATAATATTGAGCTTGTAAACACTGTCATTCTACCATTTGTGAACTCATTATTAACACAGTTGTGGATAAAACAGGTTCTATCATGGGGCCAGCTGAGTCCCCTTTCTCCTAACAGTTCATAGACCTCTAAACTCAGAAGACGTGTGCATCTAAGTCCAGAGCAATATCAGCCAGTCTCTTCAGCTTACACTTGAGCAGCTATAACTGTCAAGGAGCTTGGGAATCACTCTCAAATCCTTAGCACCCCGGTGACTGAGTGTCCATCTGATGTCAGTGCCATCAGCAAGCAGGGTCAGTGACTGACATGATGAAAGGACCTACCAGTGTCTTTCTCGTCTTGCAACAGAGACTCATAAGATGCAAGGAATCCGATGTTGGTGACAATTTCATCACTGTGGAACACCACACTCATGTGGCTTGAAGAAGAGGTAAATACCGGGGTGGTTTCTGAGCAGAATCTCCCCAGGGAAAATGATTCACTCTGTGGGCCATCAAAAATCTCAATGAAGTCGTAAGGACAGCCATAGAAGTTTTCCATCCTGTGAATGAAATGACACCATTCAGGCCTTATTTTCTTGGTCTTTTTCTCCAGAAGTGACTTTCCAGATGGTTACAGCAAGGGTCAGGCAAAGTCACAGCAAACCTGTAACTCTTCCTACAGGTTGGAAGAAGGGCTGATCCCACTGGCACCTGCAAAGCTCCCTTTCTATTTCTTTGTTTGTGTGTTGTTTTTTATAATGTATTTATTTATATTAATTACAGTTTATTCACTTTGTATCCCAGCCATAGCTCCCTCCCTCAGCGACTCCCACCCTCCCTCCCTCTTCTCTTCTCATTCCCCTCCCTGCAGCCCACTGATAGCAGAGGTCCTCCTCCCCTTTCCATCTAACCCTAGCCTATCAGGTCTCATCAGGACTAGCTGCATTGTCTTCCTCTGTGGCCTGGTAAGGCTGCTCCCCACTCAGGGGGAAGTGATCAAAGAGCAGGCCACTGAGTTCTTATCTCCATGCATGGCCCTTGTTTGGAGTATCAGTCTCAGAAAAGACCCCTGGGCTCAGATTTTTCGGTCCTGTTGCTCTCCTTGTGGAGCACCTGTCCCTTCCATGTCTTTCTATCTCCCCCTTCTTTCATAAGATTCCCTGCACTCTGCCCAAAGTTTGGCTATGAGTCTCAGCATCTGCTTTGATACCCTGCCGGGCAGAGTCTTTCAGAGGCCCTATGTAGTAGGCTCCTGTCCTGTTCCCTGTTTTCTCCCTCTTCCAATGTCATCCTCTTTGCCTTTCTGAATGGGGATTGAGCATCTTACCTAGGGTCCTCCTTGATCAGCTTCTTTAGGTGTACAGATTTTAGTAGGATTATCCTATATTATATGTCTAATATCCACTTATAAGTAAGTCTAATTTTTTTGTATTAAAAATTATTTTCACATAATATGTTCTGGTCACACTTTCCCCCTCCTCCTCACTCACCCAACTCCATGACCTTTCTTTTCTTTCTTTAAATGACAAATAAACAAGCAAACAACAAATAAGAATCTCTATCTCTCTCACACACCTACACCCCCCATACAAACCCACACACAAGCCAAGAAAAATGGTACTCAAAAATATACAAGCAAAATACCAATAAGACAAATAAAAAAAATACCCAAAACAATTTGAGATCAAAGAGTCTACAAAATACTATTCATTTTCTTTTAATTTGTTGAAGTTCCAATTCAATAATATCTTTTCAATTCACACTATAAGCTCATGAAATATAATCTACATGATATTGATGGCTTATAGCAAAAAGTAAAATCTCCCGCTTCCCCCCACTCATCCCCACACTTTATTCACCTTCCCAGAAGCAGTTCCTTTTTTTCAGTGTAAGGAAACAGATAGTTTTCATACGAATGGTGGCAGATTTGACAGTTACCCCCTGTTTTCTTGCATCTCATTCTGTAAAAATAGTCGCTTAGTCTGTGACAGTAACATGTGGTTATACCAGAAATCTGCTTAGTGGATATTCTGCTGATGGACAAGTAGGTTAAGCCCAACCTATTGTCATCATATGAGAGTTGCATGCCTCTTCTTGTACTCACAGGACTTACATTTCTGAGATTTGTGAACTTAAGATTTGATCAATATTATTAGGCACTCTAAGGAGAGTTATAGCTCTTCCGTAGTTTATGTAATTTATACATGCATGTACTGTGGGCATCCAGACCTCCACAATTCCTTCCTTTCTGATTCCTTCCCTGGCTCCCCTCCCCTCAACTTTTCATCCCATGTTCACATGCTTTCTGTTTCTAAATTTTATTTATTTTTACCTACTGGTTTATTTTGAGACAGGTCTCACAGTGTAGACCTGGCTGGCCTTGAACTCACTGAGATCTGCCTGTCTTTGTTTGTGGAGTGCTGGGATTAAAGGCCTATGCTACCACGCCCATTTTTTAAAATAAATTTTCTACCCACTGAATCCATTCAGTGCTCTCTGTGTGTGAATGGGTATGGGACCATCTACTGGGGCATGGGTAGACTCTCAGTGCCTGCATCCTTGAAGAAAAATCTCTCTCTCTCTCTCCCAGTAGCCATCAACTGCCAATAATTCCTCAGACAGGGACAAGTTCTTTAGGAACCCTTCATTATCCATGCTGGCATTTTGGCTGGCTTCATTTTGTTCAGGTCTTGTGCATGAAATTTCAGCCATTATGAATCCATGTGTGCAACAACGCTATTATGCCCAACAAAGAGGTAGCAAACCTGATGTATAAATAGTCAAGTAATGATATTATATATGCAGAAAATATTTACTCACTTGACCACTTCAAAGGAGAGTCTGATGTGAGCGTTGGTGTCCACTTGTATGTCCCAGACACATACCACATTTGTGGGATATTTTTTAGGATACCAAGGGCTGGAGAAGGAGCCTGAACTATTTGTGAGCAAACCACCGCAATGGAAACTTTCGTCTGCAAAAAAGTAAGGAAATCCCATGAGGAGACAATGATCTCTAATGCTTTTTGCTTTTCTTTTTTTTTTCTTCAATGTGAAGAGGAGATGCAAGAAAGCAGAAGTAAAGAAAACAAGCTGAGTGTTTGGGGTGCACACCTCTAAACCCAGCACTGGCAAGGCTGAGGACAGGATCTCAAATGTGAGGCTGGTAGTATGAGCTGAAGAGTCTGAAGAAAAACTACAATACCATCAAAAAGTAGGGAAGCCTGGCAGTGGTGGTGCAGGCCTTTAATCCCAGCACTTGGGAGGCAGAGGCTGGCGGGTCTCTGTGAGTTCAAGGCCAGCCTAGTCTACAGAGCTAGATCCAGAACAGCTAGAGCTACACAGAGAAACCCTGCCTTGGAAAACCATAAAAAGAAAGTAGGGGAAAGTTACTCTTTTTGTTTTGATTAAGTGTGTGTGTGCCTTTGGTGAATAGAAGAGCGCATTGGGTCCCTTGGAATTGAAGTTAGAGGCAATTGTGAGCTGCCTGAAACAGGTGTTGAGAATTGAACTCAGGTCCTTCACAAGAACTACAAGTACTATTAAAGGATGAGCCACGCCTCCAGCCAGAGGGTGGTGACAAGGGGAAATGACACTTTCTTTGAAACAGGGCTAGAGTAGCTCAGGCTGACTATATAGCTGGAGATGACCTTCAACTCCTGAGATCATCCAGCCCTCACGTCCTGGGAGCTGGGATTATAGGCATGCACCATCATGCAATGCTAGTGACTGAACCAGGGCTTCCTATGTGCTGGATGAGCACTCTTCCATCTGAGCTACATGCCAGCATCAGCACCAACTTCGACAGATGAAGATCATTCACTTTGAGAAATGATGGCATCTAGAACTAAATAGGCTGTATGAACTCAGGTGCACAGGTAGGTTTACTTGTGCAAACCCAATGGGGTGAAGATACAAAGACAATACTAACCAAGATAGCCTTTCTTCCTATGCTGTGCTGTAGAACAGCTCACACTAGGGCAATGCTTTTCAGCCTATAGGTCAAGACCCGCCAACAGTGGCCGCGTATCAGATATCCTGCACATCAGATATTTATTGCAGTTCATAACAGTAGCAAAGTTACAGGGAGTCATGAGCAACTGTATTAGAAGGTCTCAGCATTAGGAATGTTGAGGATCCAAAACTGACTTTATTAAAAGAAATAATTGGGAGGGCATTCAACTGATCTAGGAGCTTAGTTCCTACATAAACAAACCAAAATCAACTCAGTAGAAATTCTCATGACCAATTAGAAACTGCCAACTCACCCCTAACTAGGACTGTCCAACTTTAGTGATCCAAAGGAAAATGCTGGCACCCTTTCACCAAGCAGACGTTTGTCTTACCTCCAAGTTTGCCCTATCAAAGCCTGCCCTCTTGGTGAAGCCCCAAACAACTCCAGCTTGCAGCTGCTCAATTCAAAATGGCTATCTGCTCAAGATGAGTTCTTTAAAGTTTGAATGTGCTAAAGCTCATCTTTTAATAATTATATACAAGTTGGAGCTGACATCAAGACCAAGCTTAATTATCCAGATAGCATAATTGGAACTCTTGCACTTGGTGTGGGATTATCTATAGACTCCCTGTGCGGCAGCTTCTGACATATTAAAAGAAGAAATGGCATCCACCAGATACAGGAGGAGTTAAACTAGAAAGAGAAGCACATTCAAGAAGAGTTTCTGCAAAGCTGCAGTACCTGTCGTGATGTCACCAGCAGAGTCTGAAAATGCACAGAAAAAAAAAAAAAAAGGAAAAAGGTCATGGCCAAGAATTTGTATCCAAATTTAATTTTTTCTTAAAATACTGAAGACTATTGAAGCAATCACTCCCCTGTGCCCAGTGAACAGAGATGGCCCTGACTCTTTTTTTTTAATTTTTTTATTAATTACACTTTATTCATTTTGTATCCCCCCATAAGCCCCTCCCTCCTCCCCTCCCGATCCCACCCTCCCTCCCCTTTCTGCATGCATGCCACTCCCCAAGTGCACTGATAGGGGAGGTTCTCCTCTTCTTTCTGATCTTAGTCTATCAGTTCTCATCAAAAGTGGCTGCATTGGCCCTGACTCTTAGGGAGCATGCGCGTTTGCACCTCTCAAGTATGGACGGGGCCCACAACATGCATCCCTGGAACTTCTAGTTCCTTGCTCTATCTGGAATCTCGCCATACTCTCATCACTGCCAGCACCTGGTACCGTCTCTGCTGAACCAGCAGCCAAGAGATTTCAACCCCCGGAATCTGAACCTGCCCTTTATCCCTCTTATCTTCTCGCCCTCTGCAGCAGTCCATCCCCACCACATTGCCATCAGTCACGGGCGTTACTGCTTTTGTTAATTAGAAAGAGAGCATCTAACCAGGCGGTTCTCTCCAGCCTCAGAGCTAGAATGCTCCCTGGGATTCCCACCCATGGAGGCCCTGGCAACTGACCAAATGTATTAACAGACAATACCTGCCGGTCCTCCGCTTGGTGCATCAATACCTATTCAAAGACAGATGTGACAGTAAAAGACAGACTAAATGAGGCAGCCACATAACTCTCCAGAAAAACCAGGCACTTTGTTCAGAACCAGACGTGCTCTGGGTTGTTGGGGAAGCAGAATTAAAACTCATCCAGGCTAGTGAAGGGATAGTGAGCTAGAGGGAGGGGTCACATGATGCCCTGGCAGTCCAGGTGCAGCATGGGCATGGTTCCTGTTCGGTTTTGGCCAGTCACTGTGCCAGCAGAGCCTCTGTGACAGATGAACTGGGCCTCTCACCCAGGACCTCAGCCAGGCAATACTTAGAGAACGTGGCCCCGCAGGTGGTGTTGGATATGCCCTTGGGAGGCTTATCAGTTGAATACAGATGCTGTAGTCTCTATTTCATCAGAAGCCTTGGGGGTTGAGGAGCATTCAGATGCTCTGGCTGTAGAATACAGTCTGGCATTCACAGAACACTCGGTGGGCGTTGGATTGACTCTAGTGCCCAAGCATGCCAGGTCTGCAATATCTGATAATACTAACCACTTATGTAATTGCTAGTTTCCAGGTAAGACTTCTGTTTTTGCATTTCTATATCATTCATTTATTACTATAACTATTCCCTTTGCCTCATAAGTTTTGGCTCTGATGTCTATCTTATCTGATAATAATATTTTAATTTTGTTTTAGTTTGACGTACTTTGCCCATACTTTTCTTTTTTTTTTCTTTTTTTAAATTTATTTATTCTTTATTAATTATACTTTATTCACTTTGTATCCCCCCTGTGGTTCCCTCCCTCCTCCCCTCCCAATCCCTCCCTTCCTCCACCCTCTGCAGGCATGCCCCTCCCCAAGTCCACTGGTAGGGGAGGTCTTCTTTTCCTTTCTTCTGGTCCTAGTCAATTAGGTCTCATCAGGAGTGGCTGTGTTGTCTTCTTCTGTGGCCTGGTAAGGCTGCTCCCTCTCAGGGGGAGGTAATTAAAGAGTAGGCCAATCAGTTCAGGTCAGAGACAGTCCCTGTTCCTATTGCAATGGGACTTATGGGCAACCTTTGGGCAGAGTGCAGGGAATCTTAGGAAAGAAGTGGGAAACAGTATGATCTGGAGAGGACAGGAACTCCACAAGGAGAGCAACAGAACCAAAAAATCTGAGCACAGGGGTCTTTCCTGAGACTGCTATTCCAACCAAGGACCATGCATGGAGATAACCTAAGACCCCCGCACAGATGTAGCCCATGGCAGTTCAGTATCCAGGTAAGACTTTAAGCACTTTACAGATGCCAGAATCTAAAATAGAAAACTAACTCCTAAGCAAACTGACTTAAAAATTGGCTCAAAGCCCAGCGCTCATTGCTAACTGCTTGCCTGCTGGTGTTGACACCTTCCTTCCCAGTGGCTGGGGGCTGGCAAGGTTCTCTCCGGGAGATGTGACTCAAGCCATGCCACTCACCTGAACAGACCACGCTGGCATCCTCATGGTGCCCACAGTTGTGGGAAAACCATCCGTGGTGTGTGCATTGCCACACCTTGGCTTCGTCCCCCATGCATTGCACATCGTCCAGCACAATGTGGCCCACGCCTTTATCAAAGTAGCTCTCAGCTGGGGCTGCCACGGCCTTACCACAGCCGAGCTGCTGGCACACCACCTTGGCATCTGTCAGGTCCCAGCTGTCATCACACACTGTGCCCCAGGTACCATTGTAGGAGATCTCTACTCGGCCCTCACACCTGTGGCTGCCATTCACCAGTCTCAAGGCCATACCTAGAAATGGAAAAATAGGTGCTTGGGATGTGGCATTGTCCTCATAGTCTAGGATCATCTGTATGTTGAAAAAATTGTTCTTCATGTTGGACCATAGGAGTGGCCCCGTGATCTGAGATAAAAATAGTTTTCATTTAGAGATATTTATCTACTTAGAGATAAAACAGTCTTGTTTTATGACTGCTGAAGAGCAATTAATGCCTATTAATTAGAATCTCTCTCTTTATGTATGTATGTAAGTTTGTGTGAGTGTGGGCACATGTGTGGTGGTCAGAGGACAGCCTTGGTTGTTGGTCCTTGCCTTGTTTGAGGACTCATCTCTTCCTCACCCCTGTATCCAGTTCCCACCAGTCTAGCAGGCTTGTGAACATGTGGGAATTCTCCTGTCTCTGCCTCCCAAACTCGGGGTTTTTGATCCACTGAACCATCTCCCAGCCCAGTATTTCAGAGTCTCTTAAGCTCTTAAAAGTATCCCAGCTGGAGGATAATTTACATCAAGCATCTGAGAGCTCTGGGATGCTCCTGCTTCCTGCTGCAGAACCTGAGAGGTCCAGGTTCTGGGTGGGGTATGTTTAACCAAGTCGGAAGGAAGTAGACTGACAGTTATATATACTCTGTGACAGTTCCAGAATAATCTTTCACATCACTTTTCCTTCCTTTGGGAAGGGAAGGTCTCAGTGGGATTCTCTATCGGCACACACACTGTGTGAGACAGGAGACCACAGTCATATGTTTCTAGATGTTTTAGTGGGAGACAGTGACCTTTGGGCAGCAGAGCAGGGGTAAGGGCTAAGACTGTAAGTGTGGATGCCACTCAGGAGCAGAGGTGGATACATCCAGTGTGATATAATTCAGGTCAGGTTTTAAAGGCATCTTCTCTCTAAATGGGACAAGTCACCGCCAGATGTACTTCCTGCAAGGTGGGTGTCAGGATACCCACCATTTTGCCTTTCATCTTGCTGAACAGTGTTGTACAGCGCATAGAAGCCTGTGTTGGTGATCATAGCGTCACTTTTAAACACCACCGTCAGGAAGTTTGAAGAGGAGAGGAATGTGAGTTCTGCCCCAGCACAGACTTTGCCCATGGAGAGTGAGGCAACTTGATGTCCATCAAACACTTCGACAAAGTCATAAGGGCACCCATAGATGTCCTCCAGTCTGAAGGAAGAAAGGCAACATTACTCTCCCCAACCCAACTCTAACATCTTCTTTCTTCCACCTCTAAGAATGAGCCCCTTGAACCTGACCCTCCTCCCACCTCTCCCTCCTGATCTGTCAGACTTCCCATTCTCATCCGCTCTGTTTTGGTGGCTTCCATCTAGCCTCCATCCTAGCTTTCAGTCTCTCTGATCCTCTTCATTTTTACCCAAAATATCTCTTTAATGTCTCTGACCCTTTAATTCAAGCCCTGCTTCAGGTAGTGGTCAGTGTCTTATGGAATAAAAGGCCCATGAAGACCCTGAGACAGGGAGAAAATGACACAGTATAAAAGGCCTAGTGGTGGAGGCTCGTCTCATGAAGGTCCCAAACTGCCCACATTTTCTTTAACCTGGATGAGAGCAGTGTGGCAAGCATCCCACGTACTGTCTCCTTCTGCCTTGACCCCAACCTAGTTTTACAGGTATTGATTGCTTTGACTTCCTAGCACACACCAACTTCTCACTATCTGAAAGTTTCCACTGAGTTAATGGTTTGTTTCAGTACTGTTTGTCTTTCCATCTGGAATGTAAACTTACGGCATTAGAGGCCTTATTTATTTTGTTTAGCACTATGAGCCCAATCCTAGACAGGAGCCCACACAGAACGGGAGCAATGGCTATATATGGAAAACATACCAGTGTCTATCTAATATAAATATGACATAGTACATAACATGATATATATATATAACTTCTGAACAAGTAACCATCTGTGTCGCCATTATAAATACACATTGCAAGCACACAGATATATGTATATCCCCACACCCAATCGGCACACTTTACACACAGATTCAGTACTTGACTTTAAAATCTGACATTGTACATCTATCCCAGTGAAGTAAAACCAAACACCTAAAACCATTTTTCTTTTGTTTTGTTTTGTTTTTGAGACAGGGTCTTTCTAAGTAGCCTTGTCTGTCCTGGAACTCAGTATGTAGACCAGGCTACCCTGGACATAGAGATTGGCCAGTCACTGTTTACCAAGTGTGGGCTTTAAAGCCATGTGCCCAACTATAAAATAACCCATTTTAATGGAAAAAAAAAAAA